CATCCACTTCCCCTTCCTTTCCAGCCGTGCGCGCTGGAACCCCTCGTGGCTGCCAGGCCCCCGCCGGCTATTTTTGGAGCCTTTTACGCGACAGCTGGAGGAGCGTGCTGTTCGTCTTGCCCCCTTTGTTCCGACTGCCCCCTTTCTCCTTGCCGCCGCGCTTGAGGCTCCCTCCTGGGCCCTCTCCGTTGGCCCGCGCGCCGGCCCCTTGCGCTTTGTTCCCAGTGCCTGGGGGGGACCCTGAGCTCCTTGGCTCCTTAGCAGAGGTCGGGGTCCTGAGAAGCAGGGCGCAGCCGGGGCCTCCATGACCGATGCAGGCCGCTGGCCCTGCTGCTCTGCGGGCACTGCCTGCGCCCTGGCTCTCCATCGCCAGCCACGCGTGGCCGGGGGACCGTGTAGGTCCCTTGGCCCTGTCTGTCTGATGCCTGTTGTCACGGAAACCCCTCTCCTGACCTGGCCGGGAGCCCCTAGGGGTTGAGCCAGGAGAGTGAGGGGGGGCGGTGGGGCCCGGGTGGCCTGGCTTTCCTGCCAGTGTAGGTAATCTTTAACCCAGTGTGGGAGCAGCTGACTAGAGCTTGGGCCCCAGCACAGCACCCCCCCCACACACACACATCGCCCCCAACCTGCCAAGGAGAAAGGGCATTTCTGCTTTGGAACTTCTAGGATTTGTCTCTAAAGGGTCAGACCTGCGATCCCAAGGCTCCAAGTGCCCCCAGACTCCAAGTTTCCCAGAGGGCTCCCCCTTCAGCAACATAGGGGGCAAGTTAGATACAGTCTCCAATTCTCCCTTTTATTCTGCATGGATGATAAATAAAATTAAAGAAGGGCCCCGGCCTGCATGGGGCAGTTGGTCGGATGTCCCCCTGGCCTGGAAAGGTTGCAGGTTCGATTCCCGGTCAGGGCACATGCTCAGGTTGCTGGCTGGATCCCCAGTAGGGGGCGGGCCTGAGGCAGCCAGTTGGTGTTTCACTCTCACATTGATGTTTCTCTCTCTCTCCCTCTCCTGTCTTCTCTCTCTAAAAATCAATAAAAAAAAATATTTTTAAAAAGGAAGAGACACCCCGCCCCTCCACACACACACACACACACACATGCACACAAACAAGAAAACAAAAAGCATTTGGGGGCCTGAATTTGGGCGACACATAAAAAGAGCAAGCAGTTGCAGGTCCTTCCAGGAGGCCTTCCGAGTACGTTGGTTACTGATCAGAAGAATGCCTGCTGTTTGAGTTGGACGTGCAACTATTCAGTGGTGACATCTGCTGGCTTGGTACCTGGCCACACTGCCAGGGAGCGACAGACTAGTTGGCATTCCCCTTGATGACAAGGAAAGAGTATTTTTGGGCTAAAACACCGTGTCTTTGCTGCCTGGTAATCCCCACGTGCGTCTCTTTGTAGTCATAAGCCTCCAGCGACTGCTCGTGTGGTTCTGATAAGCTGGAGTTTGGGGATGCGAGTGAGGGTGGGCTCTGCCTGCCACTCCGTGGGAGAGTTATTTATCTAGCCTTCCTTTGCTCCACTCCTGGCGTGGGAACTTCTTAATTTTCTCAGCTGCCCTTGAGTGCTTCAGATCCTGGTGACTTGCCCGCTGGCTGTCACAGGGCAAATTATTTAACGATTGTTCAAGGTTTTGCAAACCCACCGGTAGAGTTCTTACGTGTTCTCCACGGAGCCCTGTTTCAGCCAGATTGGATAAGACCGCAGCGGCCGCTTCAGAGCTGTTTTGGGTGGTTGTGTTTAGGGACCAGGTTTTGAGGAAAGGCCTCTCTGGAAAACCTGGGATCCTGCCCCCAAATCCCGTCTGTGAGGTTGAGGCCTCGTGTGCTGATTGCTGATTCCGTTTAGGGTATGAGCCGGAAACCGCTCTCTGATTCCTGGACCCAGGCTCTGTGGCCTGCCCTGGACTTTATACTCCTGCAATCTCAGGTTTAAAATGCCAGCAGATGGGAAATATTAATACACTATAAATTGTGAATTTCTCCGGAGGATGGAGCCCATTGCCTGGCAGAGTGGCCACTGTGTACATTTTTTTGATGGTCTGGTGCAGTCTGACTGTGAGAAGTCACCGGCCACACAGGAGGTGAAGGCAGGGCAGCCGACGGAACTGACCATAAGCAAATTGACGTTCATTCATGCCTTCAGCAAATATTGTGCTTCTCCGGTGTGCCAGGGACCGTGCAAGGTGCCAGGGACAGAGCTGGGGATAAGAGGCACAGCTTTGTGCCCTTAATGGAGCTTAAATTCAGGTAATAAATAAGGCAGAAGTCAGCTACTCTG